AATTTATATAATCATAACTTATATGAACTATCATCTATTTATATTCAAGCAGTTATAACCATTTGTCATATAATAATTATTTTTGTTTAAATATAATTATTTAAAATATGAATAAAATTAATAACAAAAATTAAGTTTATTCACCAATAATTAAGTCTTTCTATCCAATGTGAGATGCACCATATTCTAAACTACCAACTATCTATCACTAGTTTATAATATTGGTGCTTAATTTTTAATCTTTCACACAAATAAATATTATTAATACAATAAAATATCTTTCGATTTAAACTTTCAATTAGCGCATATAACTTAAAATTATAATGAAGTTGATAATGTCTGTAGATTAAACTTCAACTCCTAGTGTTAGAATTGAAGATATAACACACATAATATTTATTTTTTGTTAGAGGTTTATAATCGCTTTAGCATTATTATGACCATATGTTTATCCTATTTATAAATATTTATAAAAGAGACCATAATTCTTCTTATTAAAATGGCACTACTTCTATATTTATATAAATAGAGTTTCCATAATATCTTAATTACTTTATACATTTAAATAACAAACTCCATTAAAAATATAAAAACTTATCCTTTCCATGCAATGGATCACACTAGTAACTAAAAATTTAAATGGAATTTACTAATGTTTAATAAATACATAATACTAATTTATTTTTACCCATTAAACTTTATAATTAGAGTTACTAAATCAAAGTTGGGTTCCTATTATTTTGTCTAATAGTAAGAGTTTAAATCCATTCTACTTGTAGTACTACTAAAAATATCTTGAAATTAAATTTTCTTTTATGGTAATTGCCCTCACTTGAGATTGAAAATTTCTAATATAATAAATTCATAGGCTAACATGTCCAAATTTTTTCATTTTGCATATTATGCATATGCTCTAGACATTGTTACCTCATTTTTGTCATTTTTAGAAATAGCTGATATTGGTTGTGGCCACAACTCTATACTCATTAATATAAAACTTTCAATAATTCTATTTCTACACTTCTATCTATTTTGTAATACAATTATTTTTCTAGTACAATTGGATAAATTGAATGGATAGACCAAACCATTTTAGTCCTTTTAAAATATTGAAAGAACTTTTTAATGATTTTCCATTAATAAGTTGTACTAAACTTATTATCTTGTATAATTTTCACATAGTAAAATTAGACTCAAATCTTATAATACTATGGTGGTAATTTTTTATTTTTTTTATTTAAAACTTAGAAGAAACCATCACTCCCACTATGTGCAAATATACATTCGTTTATAAAAGAATGACCCATTTAATTATCAAGATATATATTTTAATCAATTTGCTATTTCATTTATCTTTTCACTATTTAGTGATTTTTTTTTGGAGGCCTCCAAATCCACTTTTAATGAAAGATAATTAGCAAATATTCTATATTTTAATATTTCCTTTTCATATAAGTTTCAAAAACTGTTTCATTTTAACTCAATATAAAGGTATACATCAATAAATATGAAGTCAAATATAATTACTTTCAAAATTTTTTTCTTTTAGTATACTCATACTTTCTATGGTCTCCTTTTGAGACTTTCATATATACCAACTCATGAATTTTTATAAAATTATTTTGTCATGGATACTAAAGTCATATCCACCACAGTTCATGTTATTAAAAACAATCATAATTTCATGGATGACCATACAATACCATAAATTTTGTGTCCAAATTATAAAATACATTAAAATTTTCATCTAACAAATAAAAAAACATTTTAGCTAGTTACAAATAATTATATAACTTCTCCAATTAAAGTTATGGTAGATAATATATTTATTTCTTATCGAAATAATATCATATAAATCAAATAATATGAATCATACATTATTCTCTTGTCAATAAAATGCAATTATGAAATATGGATCATAAAATATGATTTTATAATCAAAACATATATACTTGCTTCCTTTTTGAACAAATTTATGAATTCACAATTTCTTTTATTAAAATAATTCTCTAGGATTTTATCATTTTGATTTGATAACCATAGTCTTACCAAAATATAACAAAGTTATAAAATATTCATAACCAAAGCTAACAAGTACCTTATGTCCATTTTATACTCAGGACCATTCAATGTCATGATCAAGAAATTCACATATAACATACTATAAAATCATAAATCATAAATTAAATAATTTAATTCAGAATCAAAAGATTAAGTCAATAAAGAAAGCAAAATTTGATGAGATTTAATGTCTCTTATGAATTATTAATCAACAATTCTTTTAATAAAATATAAAAAATAGAAAAATATAATAATAAGAAATTTATCTTGTATTAAGTATTTATTTCACCAAGAAACTATTTGGATAATTGAAAATTTCAATGCCTGTTTCAAAAATTAATTTTGCTAACTTTGCCAATTTTTTTTTTCATATCTTCCTTAAGTGAAATATGAATTTCATAATTATCTTTAAATTGTTACAAAAAATAAATAATGGAGTAAAAATAATTTGAAAGAATCTTGGCTTTGATGCATGAAGAACATCTTCGTAAAAGTAATTATATCTATAGAATACAACAAAATCTTAAATTCTTTGATCACAAGTAGTGAAAATTATTATATTAAAATATCTATTTATAATAAATTAACATATACAAATTTTTATTCAAATTATTATGATCATTTTATAATTATAATTTAGATGAATAATCATCTATTTATGTGCAAATAATTGTGACTATTTGTCATATAATAATTATTTCTATTCAAATATAATTATTTAAAATATAAATAAAATTAATACAAAAATTAAGTTTATTCACTAATAATTAAGTTTTTTTTTATCAAATATGAGATACATCACATTCTAAACTACTAAAAAAACTTTAGATATCAAAACATCATTTTCTCTCATTTTCTTCCTCCCATCCTTTCTCTAACCTCTCGCTCTCTCTAACTTAAATTTCTGGCCAACTATCACCCAAATCCAGATTAAGACACTAGACCACTATTGTTTTCGCCATTCACCTTCGTCATTGCCGTTGTTCACTATTGTTGCTACCTATTGTTGGTGTCAGATTTTCATAAAAATACACCCGCTTACTCCTTTAGACCTCCTTTTTTTATCCTTCAAATTCAATTTGCCTAAAAACGTCTTTAAAAAATCTACATCTAATATTGAAATTTGCAATTTTACCACCCAAAAAAATCGTCCAAAACTCAAACAAAAACTTTCAAATCATTTCCTTTAATTAAAAACTTTCAAATCCCAAACCTAAAATTCTCCAAAAAAAAAAAAAACTTAAATTTGAGACTGATTTAATTAAAATCAGTAATATTATGTTAGCATAATATTACAAATCAAAATCTAATTATTTATAATATGAACTTGAACTTGATTTAAATTCGAAATAATTTCATCTTAGAACAATCTGAATACACAATAATTATGACCAGATTTGAATCGCCCAAGCCCACCCGTTTAACCAAAAATCCAATGACTCTTTTATTTGATGCATTTAGAGAAAAAAAAAAAGTAAAAACTTGGTTACTTGAAAAATTAGTTATGAAAGGAAATATGAAAATATTTAATAATAACTGGACGTAATAATCGATTCAGCAAAAAGTTTGGATCTTTCTTCAAATTAGAAAAGAAAAAGAAAAGCTGGTTTTAGGGCTGAGGAGGTAGGACTACTACCTTGGAAATTGAGAAAAAAGATCTGAAACAAGTAAAAATAACTATACATTTCCATCGTCTCGGTCTCTGTGTGCAATCTTATCGATTAGAAATCTCACTCGGTCAGTATAAAAATTAACAAAAAAAGTAAAAAGCTTACTTTTCCGGAGAAGATACGTAACGTAAACAATGGTGCATCAGATTACTCGGAATGTCATCATAATAAGAGAGAGAGATGGTTTAATTGATAATTCTAAAGAGATTATCTTATGCTTGTGCCTCCCATATAAAAAACGATTAGTAGTATTTAGTTAAGAATAACTGAAATGTAAAGGCATTTTCCTATAAATTGTTGAAGATATTGTAATAATTATCTAAAAATTTCCAAAGTTGGTGAAAAATAAGGGAGGAAGAAAATTAAAAGGAAAGGTAAATAATTAAATATTCATCTCAACTCAGCATCCCATATAAACCAATGGAAAGATTTTTAAAATTTTTTTTTATTTTTATATGAAATTATTTTTTATGAAAAGGTTGAAATTCAGAAAAACATTAAAAGGGTTAAATTTAAATTTAAAATCTATTAAATATAATCTCTTCAAATAATTGTATTAATTAATTAAATCAAATTTCAAAATTTAAATTAAACTACTTGATTTGAAAAATCCTACTATATTCTCAAAATAAACTCAAGTCTGAGACAAGAAAGTCAACTCTTCTAAATGCATTTTTTTTAAAATGAAAGAATGAAATATGGGATTCTTGAAAGCAATCAATTAAAAAAATCTGTTAGAAATTTTGATATAACTAGGTTAAGAATTCTGCATAGCTCATTTATTTTCTATTTTCGTATGGTCACTTTAAGTTGAATTAGAGTATTCTTGTGTTATAAGAAAATTATTAGCTACTGCCTTCTTTTCGGAGAGAATCTTTAGCTTCTATATATGGAGTATTATGTTAACAATGTTAATATATATTTATTCATACTCTTTACTGTTTAGGTGATACATTCATAAAAAGAATAATAATAATTATATTTTTAATTTAAGATTTTGATTATTTTTGGAAATAATTTAAGATTCTGATTACAATCATTTGTATTTATTCTTATGATATGATCTACAAATGAAAAAATCCGATAAAAATGAAAAAAGATATGAAAAGTCATCATGTAAAATCAAGGGCGGTAAATGATAGTAATTCAGAAGCCAAAAGAAAGACGGCGACTTTCCATTTACCGACTGTTTTTTTTTGGCTTTCCCTTTTGCCTATAAAACCCAACACCAAACACTTGATGTCCCCCACTTGCTTCTTTGATCGCTACTCTCTGGAATACCCAACAGTTTCGGATCTCCAGAAAAAGGTGAGGTTTGCTGAAACCTTTTATTTGTTTATTTTTTATTCCTTTAGGGTTCAAATAGATTTATTTGGTGAACACTTAAATGTTTTATATGTAGATCTTTATGTTGTGGTTTATGTTACAGGCTCAGTTTCTTGTTTATGTCCTTCTGTTGTGTTTAATGTGTAGATTTTTTTTTTTTTAATGTTGTGTTTGAATCTCCTTTCAAAATAAAAAGAAAAAAAAATGAAAGTGGGTAAATTTCCTATAATTATTTCTTGAGACTCAAGAAAACCCAAAATCCATCGGTTGGGGAAAACATTTTATGATTTCTTTGAAAGAAGCAGGGTTATTGAAATCTGGATTATCATAATCTTTGAGTGAAACTTTTTATGATTTCTTTTGACAAACTTAAAACAGGATATTTATAAAATAAAGAATTGGATAATGGCTTTAGTCCTTTTCATCTTATTTTCTTTTATATGTTGTTTTTATAACTCTTCGTTTCAATTTCTATTCAAGAAAAACAACATATACATATTTGCATTGTGGCGGGTCAATTACGTGGTTGAGTAATAGGGTCTGTATTTGAAAGTGGAGTAGCTTTTGTTTTCAAGCTCTTTGCGATAAAGTTCCTCTAAACATAATTTAAATAGGTTTTGCCCTCTATTGGACAACCATGATTGGAAAACAATGAAATGAGAATGTTAGTTTTGAATATCTTAATGATGCATGTCATTGCTGTTGGTCTTATCTCATCTTCACTTATTGATCATATTGTTTTATGTGCCTTAGGATATTTTAAAATGGCGAATAATTCCAAGGGTAAGAAGTCTGCTTATAGTGGCTTTATTGAAGTAGTGCCGAAGCAGACAACTACCTATAATTATCAGTCAAAGCAAGGAGGGCAGTCCAGCTTCAACCAAACTACTACAAAGGAAAGCTATGTGGACAAGCAAACTGGCAGCTATGCTCGTGCAACAAACAGGGAAGTTGTGTCCACAGGAGAGACGTTCAAGGAGAGATCAACCGGGAAAGTTGGTTACAAGGATGAGTACAAGACAACCTCCACCTACAGGGTTGGGGACAAAAGTGGATATGCTGAATATCAGGTGGAGGAGAGGTTTCGTAATGTCGATTATTATGGAAGTGGCAGTGGCAACAAGGGCAACAAGTATTTGAAGTAGTAATAATATGTCAACGAGTATCTGAAGAAGTAGTAGTATTATGTCTACGAGTCTCTGAAGTAGTAGTATTAGTATGTTTGGTCTTCAAACAATCTAGTGGTCTTATGCACTTTGGTGTGCTTTTAATGTTCTGTTCTTATGTTTTAAGTTTTAATTCCCGAACTATGTTTTACTACTTTGGTATTTTCCTGGAGTTTAATGGGTAAAAGACCTACTATGGTTTTAAGAAACTGCTTGCAAGAATTGCTACTTTCTACTTTCTAATGCAATGTCAATTGTTAAGTGTTTTATTACTCTGTTGATAATGGTAGGTTATGATTGATATATCGTAAATAAGCAGTGCTGCTGGTCAGTAATTAGCAATGTTGGTGAGTGTAGCTTCAGGTATGGGCCTCGAAGCTGGTAGATTCTTGGTAAGGATTTCGATAAAATTGAGATCTTAAAGTCATTGGGAATTTTACATGTAAAGCTCGATTCTTTTTGTAATTCCCAATGGCTTTGTTTCTTTATTAGGGTAGGAGAGATGTTTCAAGACAGATGACATTGACGTGTAAGTCTATCAATGTCAACCTGGATAAGGGCTTGATTAACATTGTAATTGCAGTTAAAAGGAAGTTTTGGTTAGGGTTCATGACTTGCAGTCGTATTTAGAAAAAGTTTTGATAAGGGTTTGTTTAATAATGCGGTTGCGGTTAAAATTTGAATGTTATTTTTAAGTGTAAAAAATATTTTGAATAATTAAAATTTTTTAAAAATAATTATAAAATAATAAAATATATGGATAATATAATAATTTTGTCTGCAAATGAATTTTTTATTTGGATTGAAATTAAGTTTTTAAACTGAATTTTTTTATAAAAAGTAATTTTTATTAGATCATAAGATATTACTTTCGGCAAGAATTACATCTTTCAGCAAGAATTACATCTGAAATAATAGAGTGACATTCATAGACCTAGTGCATTGACTCCATGGGTGATCTATGAGCATTCTTTACCAATCTGTGTGCCTCATTTGCCTCTTTCTTAGAATGGACAGCAGAAAAATAGTGAAACATTGCCCCATTAGCTTTGCATCATTGATCAACTCACCTTGATAAACTTTCTTCATCAGACTTTAGTTGGTTTTTGTAGAGTTGAGCAATTGATTGGTTCGATCAGTTCGGTTTGAAAAAATCAATAACCAATTTAATTAGCTTTTATTTAATAAATAATCGTATCGATCGAAAATTTTTTAATAATTGATCATAATTAAATCGATCAAAATTGGTTCAATTAGGTTCAGTCTATTCAATTAAATAACTAAATTTTTTTATCATTTTTTTCTTATTATAAATAATTATTTAACTATAAATTCAATTTAATAAAACTCAAACTCAAATATCATTCAAACTAAATCACTAAAAAATTTAATAATTTCAATAATATTTTATAAGAAAAAATAAATAAAAATATTTATCTCAATTTTTTTACCTTTATTTATTAGAAAATCAGTTAATTCAGTCAATTTGATTTTCAATTTTAAAAATAAAAAATCGATCAAATTAATCAATTTAATCAATTTAAAAAATTGATTATAACTAAAATCAAATAAACCAAACTAAATTAATTGAATTCACTTAACTTCAATCAGTCTAATTGGTTCAAATTGACTTTTACTTACCCCAAGTTTATGACCTCTAAAGCATCACCTTTAATTATGACCGACAAAAATCCCAATTCTTTCATATATTCAATGGCTTTAATTGCTGTTAAGACTTCTACAGTTGTGGGATCTCTGACTCGTTTCACTATTGTTAAACGTTGCCCCAAAATCTGGCCGATTCCATCCCTTACCACAATTTCTAATCATACATGCTCTTTTCTACCTTCAGTGCTCTATCAAAATTTGCCGTGACAGATCCATTATCTGGTGGTGCCCATCTCATACTTTCATTAGTAACATCAAAGGTCGTGTGGGCATGGGCTTCTCTATACTCCTCTAAGTATCATCCAATGAATGCCAGTGTCTTCAGCTTTTTTAACTTCATTAGTTTTGATTTTTTATATTTTTGTTATGCCAAATCATCGAGCTTCTTGTCAACCCCTTCTCCAAACTATTTTGGTCCATCCTCTCAAACATATTACAAAGCCAACCTTTCTCATTTTCTAATTTGCATTAGTCCATTCTGTTCCACAATAACCCATGTTCCAGATTTTCTTTGCTACATTTTTTTCTTGCCCACACATTTGGTATATCTCCTGCACTTCGATTCCTCATTTCTTTAAGTTATTGAATACTGGTAAAATCCCATTGTTTAGGTGCCATCCAAAAACCTTTATCTTTTCTAGGCAGCAGCTGTGCTATCCTCCTGTAGTCTATTAAGTAATTTGTATACACTTCTCATTGAATATTCACCATTTTTTTCTGGTCCCTATACAGGTTGATCCTTTCTTCCCATACACCCTAGGGGTATACAACAAATTATATGTGCTTTCTCGTCCTAAAACCATTTTTAATCTCTTTTTCCTTCTGTTTTCTTTCATTCGGATCAATTAAGTCCAAAACCAGCTTATATTATGTACTCAGTATTGTTTCACCACATAGTTCTAGTTTCTGAAACGATTTACCCTACACATCTTGCCTCCATCACCCACTCTCCATCGTAAACCTATTTCCAGAACTTTTACCTAAACACTACGCCAAGTAAGTGAATGATTTGCACCCATTTCTACTTCCCTAAAGTTAGAATTAGGAAAGTATTTTGCCTTAAGAACTTTGTGAACCAGTGACTATGGTATTCTTATTATGCACCAACCCTGTTTCCTTAAAAGCATTACATTGAAGCTTACAGCCACTCTGAAGCCCATTCCTCCAACCGCTTTACTCTGACAAAGCATCTCCTATTTCAGACTGTGGATACCTCTCCTTTCTGGTTTCGACCTCCACCAAAACTTGCTCCCAATGCTATTTATCTCCTCACACAGACCTTTAGGAAGAAAGAAACAACTTATGGCATACATTGGCACTACTTGAAAGACCGCTTTTATATAAACTTCTTTCCTACCATTGGACAGCACCTTCACACTCTAATGTTGTATTCTTCCCCTTAGCCTATTTGTTATCTCTCTGAATGCTTTTTTTCTTCTTTTTTCCCCACCATAGGAACCCCTAGATATTTTTCTAGATCTGTTGTCACATGGATTCCGAACATATGTTTGACACTTTTCCTACACTCCTCTAATGTGTTTTTGCTAAAGAATAAGGATGGCTTGTCATAATTAATTTATTATCTTGAACTTTCCCCATATTTCTGCAGCACACGCCTCACTCTCATGCATCCATTGGACTTGCCTTTATAAATACTAAGTTATCATCTGCAAAAAATAGGAGAGCAATTCGGGGACCATTCTGACTAGCTCTCTCGGCAGTTATCCATCCTTCAGTTTGGTATTACTTCAATATAACTGAGAAGCCTTCTGTACATAGAAGAAATAGATAGCGTGAAAAAGAGTCTCCTTGGTGGAAGCCCTTTTCTAGACAAAAACTATTAGTAACATTGCCATTAAGAACTATGGAATATGAAATTGAAGTTATACAATTCATGATTTGTGAAATCCATTGATCAATAAAATCCATCTTCTGCATAATGACTTCTAGAAACACTCACACCATCATATCATAGGCTTTGCTCATATCTAGTTTTAAGGCAACATACCCATCCTTTCTTGATCATTTATGTTTTTAAGTGTGTATAATTTCATAAGCCATCAACACAGTATCAGTAATCAAACACCCCATGACAACAGCATTTTAGGATTTACTTATACAACAAGACAAGATCTACTTAAACCTATTAGCCAGAATTTTCGAAAGGATCTTATAAATTACATTGCATAAACTTATAGGTCGAAAACTGGCTATTATTCTAGGTTTTTTATTTTGGGAATTAAGACTAGGTTAGTACTATTCACTTCATGGATCGGCCCCTCCTTATTCTAACAAGATAAACAAAAATCAATCACATATTTTCCAATAATATGCCAGTATTTATGAAAGAACAAAGCAAGCAAACCATCAAGTCTTGGAGTTTTTAATAGATGCATTTGTATGATTACCTAATGAATTTCCTCCGATTGGAACTTTGGAATGAGGAGCTCTTTCATCTCATTTGTGACTCAAGCATCTATCTCTTTGAGGATCTCATCAAACATAGTTGGTCTTTAGGATTTGTTAGCTCAGATGTAGATAATAATTCAAGATGAGGAGAATTAGATTGTCTTCAAATTCTTTCTCAAAGATAAATTTTTAAATAAATATAAATGGAAAATAGAATATATAAGAAAATTATGAAATTAAAGTATAAATAAATAACAATGAATATAAAAGAATAGGAATAGAGAAATCAAATACAAATATTTATAGAGGTTTAGTCTTTTTCCAAAGATATCTTTATCCTCTCCTTTAACGTCACTTGTTAAGAAATTCAATCCACTAATTGAAAATTTTTTTTCAAGATACAATTTCTATCTTTTAAGGCTAAAATAATAATCTCTACCTTTTTTAAGATTTTACCCAATCTTATCAATCTCACTTAAGAGGATAGCTCACCCCTTGAATCACCAAGTCTTTTTTTAATACAACAACTTTTGCAAACTAATAAAAACCTCTAATAGGTAAGTGTTTACTAAGGTTAATACAAAGAATGATAAATAAAAAAATAAATATAATTTGGATACAATAAATACAAAGAATACATAATTAAAGCTCTATTAACTCTAAAACTCATAATTTCTTAAGAGTATGAATATGAAACTTGTTGAAGCTTGCTATCGAGGCTTCAATGGTGTTGGAAGAGTCCCTTTTATAGAAGAAATAAGTTTGTAGTTGTTGGCAATTGATTTTTAAGAAATACCCATTGTTCATTTGAAAAACTAGCACTTTAGAGTTATTTGGGCAAAAATCGATGGATCCATTTTTAAGGGGATCAATTTATTTTTTACCTAATCGATCCATTTTGC